CACAAACTGGTATGAGACGAGAGCATGCATCTAGATTCATAAATTATAACTAGTTGTTCGAATAAAAATTGAGTAGATGTGATCTAAGATTTTTAACAAAGACAGAGAAGGAAGGTGCTGATTTTAAGAAGTCATCTAGACTATTCCAGTATGATGTACCACGTTGAATAACGCTATTTTTAGACAATGTTGTTCTGTTGAATTGGACATATAAAATTTCTCCTACTAGTGCTTCGGGTATTATACAAATGAATATCAGATGTGAGCATAAAGAAGGGGTTGAAACAAGTAGGTAATGCATTGTGTGTAAACCTATACATAAATTTGCCCAGGTTAAAGTAGTATAAGTCTTTGAATTGTAAGAGTCTCAAATTCGCAAATAAAGGAAGGGTATGATCACGATAACCAGTATGAGATATTAATCGGACTGCTCGCTTCTGTAACATGAGCAGTTTGTTGCATTTGGATGGTGAACCACCCCAAGTCAAAATTGAATAATTTAGATATGGCAAAATAAAGGAATTGTACAAGGTTAGTAAGATTCTACTGGGGAGGTAATATTTTAAACGATTCATTATGCCTACATTTTTTGATATTTTTGTCGCTATATCATCGATGTGTTTTTTCCAAGTGAGATTCTCGTCCATAGTTATGCCCAAGAATTTAGTGCTTTTTACTTGACTTAGATTGGAATCGTTTAAAATTAAGGGAACCGATTGAGTGTATTTATACTGATGGGCACAAAAAATCATATAGTTCGATTTCAACAAATTAATGCAAAGTTTGTTAGCTAAGAGCCACGTACTAATTATTTTCAATTCAACATTAAGGTTATGAGTATATAATAAACTAGTGTCATCGGCAAATAAACAAAATGAAATAATGTCAGAGGTGTTAATGATATCATTAATATAAATGATAAAAAGTATTGGGCCTAATACAGAACCCTGTGGTACCCCACAAGTAATATCTCGATAGGAAGAATTTACAGAATTATATGACACGTACTGCTTTCTATTACTTAAATAACTTTTAAATAAGTCAAGTTCCACGCACACCGTAGTGTTCCAACTTGCTTATTAAAATATCATGATTGACTGTATCAAAAGCTTTTGACAAGTCTAGAAATATGCCAATCGAGAAATTATTATGTTCAATCGCGGTACATATTTTACTTAGAACATAGGATGTCGCCAGATCAGTTGACCTTTTTGTCTAAAACCAAATTGTGCATCAGACACGATACCGTGCTTGTTCATAAAAGATATTAATCTTGTGTAAATTAACTTTTCAAATAATTTGGAAAATGTGGACAATACCGATATGGGTCTATAATTACCAATATCATGCTTACAACCTTTTTTGTAGATTGGTGTAACCTGTGCTATTTTTAAATCATCAGGAAATACTCCAGCTGTCAAGCACTTATTAAATATGTCAGCCAAAGGCTTCGCTATAGAATACCGTGCTTGTTTAATAACAAAAGAACTTAGGCCATCAAATCCAGGAGCCTTGCCAGAAGGAAGTTTGTTAAGATTATCCACAATCTCTTCTGGGGTAACAGGTGACAAAAAGACTGAGTTCGAGCATAGGCGATTCATTTTTCATGCTCGGTTTTCGGCGACGTCTGGATGTTTTCTTGATAGGTTGGTTGTCCGCCATGGTCAGAAGAAGTTTCCCGTTAGCTTATAATGGTACTGGCAATATTTATATCATATAGGCGCTGAGGAGATTAATTTTTGAGAGAGAGCAGAAAAACGTGCCACCTTTACTCGTCACGCATCATCATGCTCCAATGTATTTCGACTGTTTGGGCCAGAAGTGTCCGAGTGAACATTAAAAATCGGTAGGTGATCTGAAAAACCTGTTATACATGGTTTGGGTGAAGGTAAAATGTTTCAAATTATTATCATCTATGAGTGTACACAAGTAATGCGAGTTGACTTATATTAATTAACGGGAGAAGAGAATGAGATGTTATTAGATGTTAATTGTTATTATTGTTTTGATTTTGAAGATGAAAGATTGGAAGCAAGAGTTGGTTTATTTAAATAAATTAATATTGAATGAAGTCTCCTAAAATAATACTATATGACTTGTATTGCAGAGCAACAAACGTTTTGGAAAGTATCCATAGATTTCCCGTGATCGACTGAAGGTGCTTTATATATAACCCTTGAAATAACGTTTTTTTGCTTTGGGAACAACCACTTCAATAAAAAGCAATTTATTCGGAAACTTGAGGTTTTCTCTAACAATGAAAGTCAAGTTTGATGAAACATAAAGAGAAATTCCACCTCCAGCTTAGTACACTTTCTATTGTTACAATGAGTTCATAGCCAGGCAAAATTTATAGTAAATATGAGGAACAGCTTTTCACCACGTTCCAGAGAGTACAATAATTGAAAATTTACAAGTTAAGGACTTCAAGAAAATGTAACTTTTTGCAAAGTTTTGTTTGCGAACTCCTTATATAAATATGAAAAACTTCAACAAAGCTCTGGTTGATTTCCTAACGGATATGTTCAATGGAATGATAAAGAGAAGGATTGGATACGTGAAATGGTTTATTTAAATCACTGTCATCGTCGTTAATTGAGAAACTAAGGTTAATGATCAAAAGACGAATCAAATTGTTGCCGGAATGCTGTACACATAAAATATAGATCTATATGAACAAGTGCAAGATAATACATCATGCATATTTAACAGTTGTTGACTGATGTGATGTGGGATATGACGTTTTGAACACCCTCGGGACGCATAGCGCCCGAGGCGAAGCCGAGGGTGCTATGCGTCCCCGAGGGTGTTCAAAACGTCATATCCCACATCACATCAGTCAACAACTGTTTTGTCACACCTTTGTCTTGATGATGTGTTTTACTTGTTTTTTTTCTAAGGGAAATTAAGGGTGGCAAACTGAAGGAATCTTTGAAAAAAATTCTTTCAACATATATAGATGTAGGGGCATTAAGACAAGCTTAAGTTCAGGGAAATTTGGGGTAAAGGTTTTACAAGTTTAATAAAAAAAAAATCTTATCCCCTGGCATATTTTATAGTGGTAGGGTCAATGAATAAAAACCTGGTTTGTAGTGACAACGATGCAGTCGCTGGCCGCCAAATTAAAGTAAATATCGTCTGCAAATGCACTGCTCCCTCACTGCTATACATTATATTGTGGAACGTGAAAGTACTGCGGGGTACCAGTGAGTACAAGTATAGTCTGGTTTAAACGCGGTCCGCGCATAATGGTTTGGACTGTGGGGCGGGGACTAGTCTACATGCATGTGATATCACAATGCGATATACAACGGGAGTGTGCCAAGCAATGCATATTTCTCGCCCGGTCAGGTGATCGTCCTGGGCCAATGAAAATACAGTATAAAGAAAGAGGTATGACAAAAGGATTTATAGTTAGGTGGTTCAGTAAATATGGGCTACGGTACAGTTGATCCATTATAGCACGGATTGATACTTGCAAAATGTAATGAATTCAGACCGCCTGAAATGCGAATGGTCAATCCGGGCGTCCGTATAATTATTTCGAGGGAACGAATAACATTTCGAGGGAACGAAATAATTATTTCGAGGGAACGAAATAATATTTCGAGAGAACGAAATAATATTTCGAGGGAACGAAATAATTATTTCGAGGGAACGAAATAATATTTCGAGGGAACGAAATAATATTTCGAGGGAATGGAATGTTTGTCGTGTCCTGTCGTGTCCTGTCGTGTCCGTCTCGTCTGTGGTGTCCTGTTTTGTTGTCTTGTCTTGTCCTAATTTTATTTTGTTTATCTTGTTTAAATTTTTTAAGTCTTTTATAATGTGCAATGTTTCATTTAAAATTTTATTTTCGCATCTGGATGTGGGATGACAGGTCCTCGAACATTGTGATTTGTATTGCTTTTGTTTTCCCAATGGAATGCCCATCTTGATTGTGATGTATATTTTTATGTGGCATGAATACATAATAATAATAATATCTAAAAGTACACATCTGACTCCAGCATGCCATTCTAAATAACAAAGCTACTTTATTTCAAGTCATATGTTTACATCAGTGAATAAATAGCCTGATAGGTTTTGGACTTGATAGGCTTTTGTATTTTACACTTCACAAAAGCTTCGATTTTTAAAAAAATAACTTACAATTAATACCAGCTGTTTAAATTCACGCCTCTACATACATTACACATTACATCACTTTATTTGCATACAACCATACATACGCAACCTATAACAACAAACATAAGGGTAACATTTTGGTGGTAAAGGTTTTTTTTCTTTTTGCATCTTATAGGATATCAAGCTTTACTCATACCAAATTATAAGAAAATATCCATCACTGTTGACCTAGAATGACCAACTAACATACTGTCCGTGAAAATACATGCTTATCAATTGTACATTTGTAAATTTTTGCTTACTATAAAACCAATCTATCTTTTCAGATGAAATCTACCTTCAGTTCTAACAATAAAAGAGGCGGATATT